GAGGGAGATTGTTTAATTGTTCTTTCTAACAACAGAGTTCCTTAGTTTTAATAATCAGTACAATAACAACCAAGATTTCCGAAGGAAAGAAACATAGTAGGATAATTTTAGCTTTTTGTTTGGCAGGACTGTCCTGCAAACTAACACCTTTTAAGACCTAGGAGAAAAAGTTTTAAATCAGGGCGTTGACGTTGGAAGTCAGAAAAAATATTTATCTTAAGTCATATCCTCGAAAGTGCAGATTACTGAAAGAATTTGGAAGGCTATAGTAGTGTAGTATGATGCCATTTATATTCTGCAGTGAGTCGATATGACGTGGATAAGAGTAATTCCGTGCATTTTGTAAATTCTGTTCGATGACACTGTATCATTTTTACGAACATTGCGAGATTCAATGGGGACATTGACCGGGCTGTCCGGGTAGTATGTGACTTTTGACCAGAATGGACAAAAATGCAGATTCGGCGATTTCGAATAGTTAGCAGCTAACCTTCCGAATTGACAGTTTTGAGAGATTAGTGACGTTATTGGGAGGATTAGTCAAACGGTGAAGGTCAAGATATTCTGGTATTTTTGAAATTTTAAAAATTCGAACTGAGAAGTCGCACTTCTGAGAAACGGCAAAAACTGCCATTTTGGAAGAAAACCAGAAGAAAAAAAATCAGAACAACAATAGTTGCGATAGTGATAACTACGATAATTGCGATAGAAAAACAACAACGAATAGCAGAGTTAATAGAGACCGTTCCGAGTTGCAACGATTGTGTCGCTACAATAGTTGCAAGGCCGTTCACAACAACGATGAAGGGTGGAAAATCAGCCTTCCGGAAGGAAGATAAGGCTGTTAATTCTCCGGATTCAGGAATCCAGAGGGGCCTCGGGATTTGAACTGAAACTGTTTTATATAAACTTTTAGCTTCCCGGTTATGTCTTGAATTGAATTTATTTACCTTCTGAATTCATTTTCTGACGATGAGAAGCTAGGAATTGAGGGAAAGGGTTGATCCATCTTCGATGGAGATGATGATCTTTATTTACTGAACAGAAACAATAGTAATATAATGAGTAGTAGTAGCCCTGTTTTTAGGAGTGACCTGATGGTCTGGGGATACTGAGACCCAGCCATGAGCTCACTAATTTTGCATGAAAACAAGTTAATTTGAGCGTTCTGGTCGAAGCCGGAGAACAGTAACGTTTTTGTGGAACCGATGTTAAAAAGACCACCAAAAGAACTGGCTTTGGTAGAGATGGTGAAAAGCATGTAGAGCTCTGTTTAGACGTTGGCCAGTCGTCTTAGAACCTAGCTTTATTTTCCGTCGATATGTACTTCCGGGTGAATGTTACATCGACCAGAATGGACAAAACGTAATTTCTTATTCGAATTTTTATCGGAACATCAGACCGAGAAGATTGATAGTTTTGATCAATTAGAGGTCTTAATTGTGCCTTCTTACGAACTCGGAAGGGTCAATTTGGAGTTCCATGTTAATTTTTAAAAATTGGATTTGAACGTGAACGACACGTAACCTTTTATTTTTTCGCACCAACTGAAACTGCGAAATCAGAACAACAGGATTCTCGGAGAGAACAACAGAAGTCTCAGTGACAACAACAACGGAAAGACGACAGCAGATTTAGATTGTGATTAGGAATTGTCAGAAACCATTACGAGTTGTAACGATTGTGCATCTACAATCGTTACAGAACAATTCACGAGAACCAGGAAGGGTGTTGAGACGACGTGTCCAACCTTCCGGAAAGTATTAAGGACGTTAATTCTCCGGATTCCAGAATCCGGGAGGGTCTCAGGAGATAACTTAAAAATCATTTTATTCAACTTTTAGCTTCCTGGAAACGTCCTGAATTATTTTAATAACATCCAAATTCTTTTTCTGATTATGAGAAACTAGGATTTGAGGGAAAGTGTTGATCCATCTTCGATTGAGATGTTAATTTTTATCTACTAAACAAAAACAATAGTAATAGTAGTAGTTGTAGTAGTAGTAGGGTAGGCTTAGGATTTCTCCATGGGTTTTGAACCCTCGTTTATAAGTTCATAATTTTTCCCGGTGGGTTGCAGTTTCCACACCAGCAAAGAATTCTCCACATACACAAGTTGTTTTCTGCAAAATTTCTGTTGAAGGATTACCAATACGTGTTTGTTGTAGATATTTTCATGCTGTCATAATCTTGATTTTCGAAAATCACAATTTGGCTTAAGTAGTTGTATAGCGTATTAGAACATATATAGTAAATTTCATTTGACTTTTTCAGTCTTGTTACACGAACAGCAATCTCACCACGTGTTGCTTGTCTCGTTCGTGAATCGTTTTTATGAGAAATTGTATTCAAATCAATGTAATGTTTTTTTTTTTAGTAGTGATACTAATTACAATATGTCGTGTAATTCAAAGTACATTGAGAGTGGAAGGAGCTTTAAAATTTTCAGTCTTTCAGTATAACTTATTTTGAAATTATTTGTAATCCAAGAAGTCGCTCGTTTTTGTACTCTTTCTAGTTGTCTTAATTCTGCTTTGTTCGGATACCATTTTTGCGATGCATAGCTTTTAATTGGTACAACGTATCCACAGTTTAAGTTTAGTTTTGACTTTAATGATGTTTTTTTTGGAGATATTCCGTTTGATTTTGTAAAAAGCTCCCATTGCTTTTGATATGCAATTTTCAGCATTTACTGACCACGAAAGGTTGTCACACATTAGTATACCTAAGTCTTTTTGGGTCTTTGCGGTTTCAACATTTGTTGTGTCTTTTTGCAGTTGAATTTCTTCAGTAGACAAGATCTTCATATCGTCACAATAGTCAAAACAATCCGAATTCTCAATGCATTTGGGAAAGTCGTTAATGAATATGATAAAAATAGAGGGCCAAGAATTGAGCCCTGTGGTACACCGCTAGTTTCTTCTTTCAAAGTTGATGAACTTTTATTGATTTTCACAAAATGCATTCTATCTGTTAGATAGTCTTGTTTTATGTCTTGTATTTGAATGCCTAGACCTATGCTCCGTAGTTTAGCAATTAGGATACTATGAGGAACTTTATCAAAAGCTTTAGAAAATTCTAGATAAAGGACTGATAGTGTTTGAACATTTTTGTCATCGTAGAGATCATATACTTTGCTCAAAAATTGTACCATTTGAAGTACTGCTGACCTTTTTTGCCGGAAGCTGTATTGTGCGTTTTCCAAGAAAGGTTGAACTTTGGGGTATATATTATCGAAGATAATTTTTTCGAAGACCTTCGAGGCGGAGCATAAAAGGCTAATTGGGCGGTAGCACTCAACTGACGCCTTGTTCTTTTCTTTAAAAATTGGGGCCACTTGACTTGTTTTCCAGTAGGTTGAGAAGAGCCGCTGGTTAATGAATGTGCGGAAGAGAAGATAGAGCATTTTTGACAGAGTATCAGAAAGATTTTTTAGGATTATATTACCTATACCATCAAAACCTGATGCTTTATTTGTTAAAAAAATTTTGAGAATGAATTCGATTTTGGTTTCTCCAATGTCAGATTTCTTCTGACAGTTTGTATTTCGTGTGAGAGGGTTAGGATTTGATTCCTTTTGATATACACTGATGAAGAATTCGTTAAAAAATGTAGCTTTTTGGGTGTCATCTCTATTGGGTTTTTCCTTGTGAAACATTTTTTGGGAATATTGCCTGGAATTACTTATTTTGTTCAAGTATTTTTGTGGGTCACTGAATCGTCTAATGCTTGTTACTGTTTCTTCGTAAATTGCTTGATCTTCAGTCAATGCTATTTGAAGATTTTTTTCCAGTTTTTTGTGTTTTAGGATAGGGCTTAAAGTAGGTTTGTTTAAAGTAGGGTTGTTTTGCCGATCAATACGCCGTTTTAATGTTTGTACTTCTTTTAGCATGTGAGACGTACTTGGTGTCACCCACGGGGGGAGAGTTGATCTGTGTGATGTAACCTTGGGTACATTGTTCTTTATTTTGTCCCATAACCATGCATACTACTGACGCAGGAGCTCATTTACATTACTGTAACAATACGGTATGAAAGGTTTGTCTTTTATTTCTTGATTTAAGACGTTTAATATAGTAAACAATTAGTAGCCCTGTTTTTAGGAGTGACCTCGTGGTTCGGGGATACTGAGAACCAGCCATGAGTTCACTATTTTGCATATAATTAAGTTAATTAGAGCGTTCTGATCGAAGCCGGAAACAGTAACTTTTTTTGTCGACCCGATGTTAGAAAGACCACCAAAAGAACTGGCTTTGGCAGAGACGGTGAAAAGCATGTAGAGCTGTGTTTAGACGCTAGCCAGTTGTTTTTATAACCTAGCATTATTGTACGTCGATATGTACTTCCGCGCGAATGTTACACTTACAAAGCTTGCTCCGTGTGTTAAGACCTGCTCAAAATTTACCGTGCTAAGACCTGCGCTTTGAATCTACTATACTGTTACGTCACACAAGAGCTTCTTACCGACAGCCCATGGAGTGAGGATCATACCGCCTGGTCGCTTCTGATCGGTCCTGTAGAGCTGTCGTGGCGCTAAAAAGAGGCTCTAAATCAAATTTGTTTCTGACTGGATGAATTCACGAAGTCAGGGTATGCATGGGTCTAGAACTGCGCGTTACAAAGGTCCGTCTGAAGTGACTTTGTAATTTCAGATTAAAATGGATTACTCTTCGGCGTTTTCGTTTGAAAGTATAAACAAGTATAAACCGTCATTTGAGTTAAAGAAATCGAAAGGTGGAGTAATGCCGGATCGCTCTAAATATACAACACTTATAAATGTCGAAAGTGACGAGCCTGAGCAACGAGGTAAAAAAAACGACGTAAACTATGTCGTTACATATTTTCTTACTGCGATAGGGTTTCTCCTTGTCATGCTGACAGCTCCTTTCTCGCTCCTATTTGCAGTGAAATCAATTGGTGACCAGGAGCGTGGGATTCACTTCCGACTTGGAAGGTTTTGGGATGTACGGGGCCCAGGAATTACTTTCGTTATTCCATTAATGGATAAGCTAAACAAGATAGATCTCCGAGTGAAGGCTTTTCATGTGCCACCAATGCTTGTTATGCTTCAAGATGGCGGATCAGTTTCACTTGGAGCCACAATTATGTACTCCATTCAAGATGCAGTTGTGGCCACTCTGTCCTTGCAAAACATCAACCACACCATTCGGACTCTTGCTCAGTCAGTCATGTACCAAGTTGTGAGCCTTTATTCCATGGAGAAGCTGCGCAGAAACAAAAAAGACCCAAACGCTTTCATTAAAAAAGAACTGCAGGAGGAGATTATGCAATGGGGTCTGTCTATACACAATGTTGAGCTCTCTCAAATTACCGAATTGACTCCGCCGCCCACGGCAGTTCAAAATGTCCAGGAGCAGTTAGGACCTATTTTTGGGCAACTTGGTGGACTTGAAGGGCTTATATCTACAGCGGCTGATTTTTACTTGCCACAATCAGATGGCATTGAGGAAACTGAGATCGAAGTATCGCGCAGCTTGATACAAACTTTCAAAGACAAAATTGAGAAACTTCTAGATTATTCAATGACAGAGACTATTGGTAAAAAGTTCATGTTCCATCTGTTTCCCGGAAGCACTATTTCAGACAACTGCTTAGACAGTTCACGAATTTTGGTGCTAGATTGTAAAAACTCTCCCGTAGGCGTTAAAATTTACGGACATGACGAGATGAGCTACTACGAGCGAGCGAGTTGCGACGTGGAAGTGAAAGTCGGGATTTCCGACTTACTGAAGCTATTGAATGGCCAAATATCAAAAACCTCTCTCTATTTCCAAGGACGAGTTGAAGTAAATGGCGATACTTCAGCCCTTGAACTTCTGTCACAATTTAAAGACGAGTTTCAAATATCTGAATTATAGTGATTCCAAATAGTGATACTGAATTTTCATAAACCACAAAATTTATTTGTACAAAAATTTTTCGCTCAGTCAATAATTGTTTCATAATTATTCTTCTATCCTTTAATTTAAGATTTTCCCTCTCATTTCATTTAAGTCTCACTATAAAGAACTCAATGAAATTAACAATGATGGCAACATTGACCAGATTTGCCGCCAAATCAAAGACGTTTTTTCGGTAATCGTCATTCGTTAAGTTGACATAAGTATCAATGGCAGAACAAACCTATATTCAGAAGAAACAAAAAATAAAACTCAAATAGTAGATTCCACTTCAAAAACTGAAGTGAAGCCATAATTTTTTTTAAACCTTGCCTTAGCCACCAGACAGCCATGCTTTAGCTTATAACTCTAGCGCTCAGCTTAGAGTATTATTACGAACCTTCTTTTATTTCTAACCTAACTCGCAAATAAGAATGTTCACTTATTTGGAAATGTCACTGAAGCATTGGAAATTGCTTAGCATCTGTTCTCTGCTTTATATGTGGCTAACATTTGGTTACCTGTAAGCTTCCGTAGATCATTGGTTAGTGTGCGAGACTCTTAATCTCTAGGTCGCAGGTTCGAATCTCAGACGTAGCCGTAGTTTCGCAAATTTTATGGCTTATTTCTACTTTTCTTATCTATCTGTCTATCTATCTTACATTATTTAATTTGCGTTTCACTTGACGCATGTTTAAGAAGTCCCTATGTTGACATGTTTAAGCTTTTTCAACGTTGTTTTTTTGGCATGCTTAACGAAAGAATTATTGCACGTTTAAGCTATATCGTATATTGTAATAATTAAGAAATATCTTTTAGCACACGTTTAAGAAGTCGCTATATTGGTCTGTTAAGAGCCAAATCATTGGAATATTTACCCAAGTCGACGTTCAAAAATCTGTTGGAGCGCAAATGCTTAAACTCTACTTTTTTTCCTAAATTCGCAACATAAAACTATCAAATTTTTGTTTCACACTTTATCTATCAATCTATCTATCTATCTATCTATCTATCTATCTATTATTTAATTGGCGTTCTATGTGAAACATGTTTAAGAAGTCCCTATGTTGACATGTTTAAGAGAACTCTATCTTTGCATGTTTAAAGTTTTCAACGTATTATTTTTTGCACGTTTAAGCTATATCATATATTAAAACGCTTAAGAAATTTCTTTTAGCACATGTTTAAGAAGTCTTTATGCTGGTCTGTTAAAAGGCCAAAACATGCAAGGGTTGAAAAGTTAACTCAAGTCAACGTTTCAAAATCTGATGGAGCTCGAATTTCTTAAACTCTTTAAATTTTTTCCTTTATTCGCAACGTAAAACTATCACAGTTTTTGTTTCACAGTTTACTTAAATAGTTCCGAGTTTCGCACCACCATAGTGGGGTGCTATCAGGGCACACTCATTGACTGCAAATCTATCGTCCATTTATGACTGCTCAAATCCTTACGGTTTTCGAGATATGGCGTCTTTTATGATTTTTTCTTTTTTTTTTCAAAGAACTAGATATAAAAAACTAAAGTTGTGTTTCTCAACCCTCTAGTGGGGTGCTATCAGGGTACCCTTAAGGCCTGCAAACCTCGCGTCCGCGTTTGACTGCTCAAATCCTTATGGTTTTCGATATAGGGCGTTTTGTATGACTTTTCATTTTTTTTTTTAAAAAACTTTGATATAAAAAAGCTAACCGAACTTGATTTTCTCAACCCTATAGTGGGATCTTATCGGGGTACACTCCAGAGCTGCAAATCTAGCGTCAAAGTATGACTGCTCAAATCCTCATGGTTTTCGAGAAATTGCGTTTTTATGATTTTTTCTTTTTTTTCCAAAAAATTAAGATATAAAAAAACTAACCGAACTTGAATTTCTCAACCCGAAAGTGGGGTGCAATCAGTGTACCTTCGAGGGCTACAAATCTAGCGTCCAACTAGGATTACTCAAATTCTAATGGTTTTACCGGTGGTGCGATTGAAGCGCTAGTTCAACTAAATTTCAAGGTCTTAAACCTATTGTGGGCTGCTGCCAGGGTGCTTCCAGGGGTTGCAAGTCTGGCGTCCAAGCATGACAGCTCAAATTCGTTTGGTTTTCGAGATCTGGCGTTTTTTATGATTTTTTTTCCAATTTTTTTTTTTCGAAAAACATGTATATAAAAAAAACTAATCGAACCTGATATTGTCAAGCCTATAATGTGGTGCTGTTAGGGTACATTCAGGTTTTTGTAAATCTGGCGTCGAAGTTTGACTGCCAAAATCTTAATGGCTTTCGACATATGGCGTTTTTCATGATTTTTTAATTTTCTTTTTAGAAAAACTTGAATATGAAAAAAAACTAACCGAACTTGAATTTCTCTACCCTTGAGTGGGATACTGTCAGGATACACTCAGGGTTCGTAAGTCTGGCGTACAAGTATGATTGCTCAAGTTCTTTTGTTTTCCAGGTATGGAGTATTTGTGATTTTTTGTTTTTTTTTGCGAAAAACGTAAGTGTAAAACAAATATTAATCGAACTTGAAGTTCTCAGCCCTGTGGGTTGCTGTCTAGATATACTCAGATGTTGCAAATCTTGATCTAAGTATGACTGCTCAATTCTTTAGTTATCGAGATATGGCGTTTCTAATGATTTTTTCAAAAAAATTAGATAAAAAACTAACAGAACCTCAAGTTCTCAACCCTAATGCGGGGGTACTGTTGTACTGTTCGTTGCTCAAGTCCTTTTAGTAATCGATATGTGTTGATTTCTTTGTTTTTTAGGATGCTGTTGCTGGAAAATATAGGATAGCAAATCTGCGCAAATCATTTTGGTCTTTGATATATAGCGTCGTTTGATGAAATGGAAACCCTTGATAAATGAGTTCAGCTTATCTTCACGATTGCATTGAATGTCTTTGTTTTAATACATGTTTTAGGAAGCTCTTTTTACGTTCAGCGATCTATTTGAAGCACCGTAGTTGTTAGTCATGCGCTATTTGCTAATTATAGAGCTGATTTTTGTCGTGTTCTGGCTAGTGTCCTCTGTACTAAATGTTTCACAGAACTAGCATTCACAGTCAAATCCAATTTTTGTGGAAACCCCGAGTTATTATTATTTTTCTGTGAAGACAAGACACTTGTAAGCTTGTAAGGTTGTTTTTTTAAGGAAAATTCTCAAAATATCTTCACGTTCAATTCGATTTTTCGCTGTTTTGATATTTTAAAGTTTAATTGTTTTGTTTGCTTAAATAGAAAGCCACATACGCTTGTGAAAAACAGTGTAAATAGCGTGAAAAAACGTGATTGATTTTGTTTCGAAAGTGGAATTAAGTTCTTACCATTCAGTGGAATAAAAAATTGATTTTCTATAAAATGTGCTAGTTTTATCAAAAAAGTGTCAATCGGATAGGTCAATTCGTTTTGTGTCATTTGAAGACCAAAATGTTAATCCTTTTTTTTACAAGCAAAGCTTGTGTTACAGTTTGAACTTTTTTTCCAACCTAAGTCGCAAATATTAGTGCTCATTTTTGAAAGTGTTCATTTTTATCATTCAGACTATTATAATACAAGTAGCTTTTTAGCTTCAAGGTATCATGGATCTGTAGAGTAGAGGTAGGGAAGGAGACTGGGCAGGGTCGGATGTTTTTTGAGTTTTTTCGTATGCTAGTGAAAATCCATCCGCTCTATAAATTAAGGCTTATTAGTTGGTAATTTTTTTTTTTCAAATTGACTAGTGCTGCTAATGCGTCATAATTGGCTTAATGCGTCACTTTGCAATTTTATAGTCTCATAATTGTCGTGCCTCAATGAAGAATTTTTGTTGGCTCAATGTTCCCCTCATTCAGTTTTTCCCAGTATCGTTATCGGTCATATTTTTGCTTGTGTATGCAAAGTACAACTTCGCCTCTGTCCTGGGGGGATAAAGCTCAATAGGTTCTTGAGACATGTTTATAAACACTTGAAAATAGTTTAGATGATATGAAATCATAAACAGATTCTCCAACGAATGAGGAAGGCCAAAATATCACAATATCAAAGCTCAAAAATTACAATCAAAGTGAAAAAGAATCAATAAATTTGAGGCAAATAAAGCTACTTTTTTCTGTCCTCAAAGGATGAAAAGTGTTTTGCACACAATATTAAGGTGCTGCGGAGAGCAATGTTTAATATCCAGATCCAAAGCTAGAGCATCAACCCTGATCATTTGCTTTCTGATGAGGCAATGGTCGCCCAAACAAAAGTTTACAAAAAAAATTATAGAATCGAATTTTTTTAATAAAATTTGATAAAATTTTTTTTATAAAAAAAGGAGATTGCTCAATTGATCCGCTCAATCAAATCTCATTCCAGTCGATGAGACATATTCCAGCTTAACAGGTCGAGCCAGAAGTTCCTTAGTACAAGATTTGCCAAATTACTTGAAATGCATCCTTGGTCAGTTGCGAGGAGTTGGCGTTTCACTCGACACTTGTTAAAGAAGTCATGATGTCGCCTGGTTAAAAAACTAATATTTGTCTAACTTCTCTGCGGATGCGAATTACTTTGTTATTATTATTTTTTTATAAATAAGGTACCATGGACTGCAAATCATCATATATCAGTTTTAGAAGATTTCGCATCTGCAACTTCAACATATTTTCAGCATAGCGAAGCAATATGTTGATTTTTATATTTAAGTTGTCCCAATTCTGTGGCAAAAGATTGATTCTGTTGACCATACGAAGCGACTGTTCATTCTAAAGTTTGTTATTAAGAGTCGATGAATGTAGTCTAGACTCTCACATAGATCGTAATGATTTATTTAAGGAAAAGTCTAAAAATTTTTAAGGCTCAAATTTACTTTTTGCGGTTTGACCTTCGATTTTTTTCAAGTTCAGTTCGTTTCCTTTGTTAAAAGACAGGGAAACTCCACTATAGAACATCGAAAGTGTAAAGGTCATGATAAATGTGATAATTTCTAATTACGAGTGTGGAATTTAGTTATCAGATTTCCCAGCGAAATAAAGTTTTA